ATGCCTTTTTCTTTTTTCATGATTTATGCACCTTATCCCAGTACAATGTTACATTTGTACTATTTTTTCACATTGTGTAGAGTCCTCACGCAATTCTGGCCTTAACTACCCGTTTCATGATTTTTCAGGATGCCTTAATGACCAATTTTTTTTTGGTCTTTGAGGTACAGCTTGCACCACGCTGATGAGGGCCAACAGCCCGAAACGCGTCCGTGGTTAGCTTTTCTTGATTAATCAAGAATGGGTATTTGGCCAATTATGGAATAAAAAAATCAACGAAAATAGTTGATATTTATTCCGATAGATGGCGCTCAGCCATCAGCAACTTTCAGTTGCACGATAAGGAGATGCCTTTTTTCTTTTTTCATGATTTATGCACCTTATCCCAGTACAATGTTACATTTGTACTATTTTTTCACATTGTGTAGAGTCCTCACGCAATTCTGGCCTTAACTACCCGTTTCATGATTTTTCAGGATGCCTTAATGACCAATTTTTTTTTTTGGTCTTTGAGGTACAGCTTGCACCACGCTGATGAGGGCCAACAGCCCGAAACGCGTCCGTGGTTAGCTTTTCTTGATTAATCAAGAATGGGTATTTGGCCAATTATGGAATAAAAAAATCAACGAAAATAGTTGATATTTATTCCGATAGATGGCGCTCAGCCATCAGCAACTTTCAGTTGCACGATAAGGAGATGCCTTTTTCTTTTTTCATGATTTATGCACCTTATCCCAGTACAATGTTACATTTGTACTATTTTTTCATATATATATATATATATATATATATTTTACGATGTACTAGAGCGCCATCTGTTATCAAATTATAAAACTATTTTAGAGGCGTAATATTCTTTTTAAAATAAAACAATTTCTACTGTCCTTACTGCGATGGAAAAATTAAAGGGAGGGCCTGGCTCATCAGTGGTGAACCCTCCCAGCGGTTTCGCCAGTTTAATCTACCATACCGCTGTTATATTGCATTTTTGGAACTTCCTTTTATAGGTGACTGTTGTAAGACTCATATATAATATATATTTATAATTATATTTAATTCTGCTGTCCTAAAAGCTTATGTCCACAGTTCTTCTAAAATACCCATTCCAAGAGTCTTACAACAGTCACCTATAAAAGGAAGTTCCAAAAATGCAATATAACAGCGGTATGGTAGATTAAACTGGCGAAACCGCTGGGAGGGTTCACCACTGATGAGCCAGGCCCTCCCTTTAATTTTTCCATCGCAGTAAGGACAGTAGAAATTGTTTTATTTTAAAAAGAATATTACGCCTCTAAAATAGTTTTATAATATATATATATATATGGAAAATTTGCCGGGAGGAAATTGATCCATTGGAGCAATGGTCGCCTCTCCTGTCAAAATTAACGTCAGAATCTGACGCCATCTATTGACCGTCGCCGCAACAAGCGGTATCGGGTCGGTGACAAAGCCACAACACCAACTTTGGCAAACTGATAGGCGTCCACCTAGAGACCATGGTTTCGGGCTAATGGCCCTCGTCAGTCTAGGGCGGACTTTATTACATGAGATCCACACGAGATTTAATGGAATCCTCACAATCTACCAAAGAGGTGTTTTGCTGGCAATGTGGCTGGGCCAAATCTATTGGCAAAACATAGATGGAAAATTTGCCGGGAGGAAATTAATCCATGGAAGCAATGGCCGCCCCTCTCGTCAAAATAAACTCTTCCAACCACCCATTGTACCTGATGAAGGGCAGCTGATGTCCGAAAGCTCGTAGTTCCCAATAAAGAAACTTACCACGCTGTTTACCTACTTGCTGTTTTAAATTATATATATATATATTAAAAACAATCCATATCCTGAACACATGGAGTTCTTCCATCTAAAAGTTCAAGTGAACGTGTTAAGGATATGTCTTTTTTGATTTTTTTTTAAATAATAAACACCTGACCTTTTTTATTATTTTATTATTATTTTTTACATATATGGCGCTCTGCCATCTAGAAAACTGATGTAAGCCTGTTCAGGATATGCCTTTTTATTTTGCTTTTAAAATCAACACCTGTACCCTTTTTATATTTTTATTTTTTATTTTATTTTTTTTACATGAAAAGCGTATTCACGCAAATTTGACCTTAAATACCCATTTCTTGATTTCTCAGGAAGCTTCTGGGACAAAAATTCAATCGTAGAGGTACAGTCTGCACCACGCTGACGAGGGCCAACAGCCCGAAACGCGTTCGTGGGTGACTTTTCTTGATTTATCAAGAAATTGGGTTGGCCAAATATCACGGAACAAGTTAAATAAACGTTTAGTTTATTTTTGTTCCACTAGATGGCGCTCTGCCATCATAGAAAACTTATGTGAGCCTGGTCAGGATATGCCTTTTTGTTTTTAATATATATATATGAATTTTTAATCTGATTTAACATTAATCCTCGGATATATTATATAAATCTCCATACTGTATCAACATACTAAGTAACAGATTATATAAATGTTCATTCACTGACTTATAATTTAATGATTTCTAAAATGGATACAATGCTTTATTTCTTTCGAACTTTTATTTCTCTAGATTCAAGGCTAACATCCCTTTCAAAAGGAGCAACTATTATTATAACTCCAGTATAACTTGTAAATAAAAAGTATAACTTGTCTAACTTCCAGTTAACTATACACGGCGGGACACTAGTTTCTCCTGTTGAAAGGCATGTTAGTCCGAAATATCGAAAAATAAAATTGTGAAAGAAACCTATCCCTGGATGCCTTTTGATATAACAGATTGTATGTTATAAAAATCTGAAAGTGAAGCTAGAACCTGTGAAAAAAGTTTGGAAATATGATTGTAGGTTTGCGAGCGTGGGGTCACTTCCCTTTACGTCTCGAAAGCTAAAATTAAAAACAACCGAAGACCGTTGTTTACCGCTCGTTTATTTTTAAAAGAACGTTTTAGAACAAAAAGCACGCGACTGCCGGCGAGAACACTAGCACGAGACACCCTGTGCGCGCGCATGCCTGCCAGCGAGTGCAGTTTCACGCGACCGCCCGTCAGCGAGAGAAGCTTTTCCTTAATTACAATGCAAATCCTTAACTATATTTACAGGTTTCTATTTTATAACTATTTCACATATTTACAATGATAGTTGCTCGTTTAACTAAAAGACATAAAATTCTCGATATTGTGGTGGTGGTGGTGTCTTGTCCATGGAGCAGATCATATCGGTTAATGAACCCTGATCACAATACCGGCCAACTGAGGTGGTGGTGGTGTCTTGTCCATGGAGCAGATCAGATCGGTCCATGCACCCTGATCACAATACCGGCCAACTGAGGTGGTGGTAGTGTCTTGTCCATGGAGCGGATCATATCGGTTAATGAACCCTGATCACAATACCGGCCAACTGAGGTGGTGGTGGTGTCTTGTCCATGGAGCAGATCAGATCGGTCCATGCACCCTGATCACAATACCGGCCAACTGAGGTGGTGGTGGTGTCTTGTCCATGGAGCAGATCATATCGGTTAGTGCACCCTGATCACAATACCGGCCAACTGAGGTGGTGGTGGTGTCTTGTCCATGGAGCAGATCAGATCGGTCCATGCACCCTGATCACAATACCGGCCAACTGAGGTGGTGGTGGTGTCTTGTCCATATAGCAGATCATATCGGTTAGTGCACCCTGATCACAATACCGAACAACTGAGATGGTGGTAGTGTCTTGTCCATGGAGCAGATCATATCGGTTAGTGCACCCTGATCACAATACCGAACAACTGAGGTGGTGGTAGTGTCTTGTCCATGGAGCGGATCATATCGGTTAGTGCACCCTGATCACAATACCGGCCAACTGAGGTGGTGGTGGTGTCTTTTCCATGGAGCAGATCATATCGGTTAGTGCACCCTGATCACAATACCGAACAACTGAGGTGGTGGTAGTGTCTTGTCCATGGAGCGGATCATATCGGTTAGTGCAACTTGATCACAATACCGGCCAACTGAGGTGGTGGTGTCTTGTCCATGGAGCAGATCATATCGGTTAATGCACCCTGATCACAATACCGACCAACCTGGATGACTTGTCCGTATGGATGTCCTCTTCTGGATTAATGTCTTCCATATAGAGGGCTGCAAGGATGGCCGGGAAACTAAATATATTTATTGATATTGCTTAAGGGGTAGAGCTTCCTTTTATTCTAGCCGAGACTGGATTTTAGGATTAGACCTTCCTTCCTCGGGGATAAAAACAGATCTTCTGGAGGAAAGGAATAAGACAATAGTCAGTTGGAGTTGAATAGTCATGAGGATGGAAGTTGGTCAGTGCGTCCATAAAACTATTTGTACCTGACAGTGTCTCGTTCCTTATTTTATATATCAAATAGCGTATGCATTTTGGTGTGCCAATATATTTGGGACAATATTACAATGTGGTATAAGAACATTACAATATCGCCACGCTTCACACGCTTGTTCGGCGGTACATATACTAAAATTGGAACGATACAGAGATGATTAGCATGGCCCCTGCGAAAGGATGACACGCAAAATCGTGAAGCGTTCCATACAATATCGCCACGACTGCAAAATTCTGAAAATGTTTGCCAATCATTCCTATATTATATCACATATATAATAATATGAAAGTTTTCATTAGAACAAGCTTTTTGTAACATTTATTTGTTATTGTATTTGTACAAGCTAATTGTATTAGCCATTGTTTAAACCAATCTTGATCCTTAAAGTAATGAATTTTAGTTGGGGGGCTAATGAGCATTCAATATAAAAACCTTATATTTTCTTCTTTCCTATATATTACGCGGGAGGCGTACCGGCTGGGTTGTGCGAACTCGCGTCTGGACGGATGCGTGGAAAGTGCCCGGACCAGTGGGTGTCGGCCTTTCCGGCGGAGGGGGTCAAGGGTGCGGTGGCCGCCACGGAGAGGCGGGCGCTGCGTCCCTAAGCGTGGTCCCGGCGAGGCGGCCCGAGGGCGTCTCGCGGCGGAGACTGGCGAAGGATACCTGGTTGATCCTGCCAGTAGTCATATGCTTGTCTCAAAGATTAAGCCATGCATGTCTAAGTACACGCCCTAGCAAGGCGAAACCGCGAATGGCTCATTAAATCAGTTCCTTAGATCGTACACATTTACTTGGATAACTGTGGTAATTCTAGAGCTAATACATGCAATTGAGCCCTCGTCCCTTTTAGGGTGATTGTGCTTTTATTAGACCAAGACCAAACGGGGGCAACTCCGATAGTCGTGGTGAATCTGAATAACTATGGCGGATCGCACAGTCCTAGCACTGGCGACGCATCTTTCAAGTGTCTGCCTTATCAACTTTCGATGGTAGGTTATGCGCCTACCATGGTTGTTAAGGGTAACGGGGAATCAGGGTTCGATTCCGGAGAGGGAGCCTGAGAAACGGCTACCACATCCAAGGAAGGCAGCAGGCGCGCAAATTACCCACTCCCGGCACGGGGAGGTAGTGACGAAAAATAACAATACGGGACTCTAACGAGGCTCCGTAATTGGAATGAGTACACTCTAAACCTTTTAACGAGGATCTATTGGAGGGCAAGTCTAGTGCCAGCAGCCGCGGTAACTCTAGCTCCAATAGCGTATATTAAAGTTGTTGCGGTTAAAAAGCTCGTAGTTGGATCTCAGTCGCGTTCCCTTCGATGCGTTGCAAAGCGTCTATCGTTGGGGCCGACAGCACGTTGGTGGGCCCGGTTGATCGGGTTCTCCGGCAATTTTACTTTGAAAAAATTAGGATGCTCAAAGCAGGCTGGTGCCTGGATATTGGTGCATGGAATAATGGTACAGCCTGCTCCACGCTGACAAGGGCCAAACAGCCCGAAAATGTTCGTGGAAGCTTTTCTTGATTTATCAAGAAAATGGGCTGGTCAAATATCAGGGAACAGGCTAACTCAACGTTTGGTTGATTTATGTTTCACTAGATGGCGCTCTGCCATCTAAAAAGCACACGTGCTCGTGATCACGAAATGCCTTCTTTGTTTTTAATATCAACACCTGACCTTTTCTATTTTTTCTATTGTTTTTACACACACATATACACACTTGTATATATATATAGGTAGTGTACAACTATATCTCATCCAGTTTACACTCAACAATTGACACAAACTAAGCGATTTCCATTAGTAACCACAATTATATTCATATACATACATTTTAAATCTAGAAATTGCTGTCTATCTTCCATAACCATTCCATATATCAACCAAATACATCAATTGATAGTAATAAAATAGCATTAAATCCATATTTTCATATCTGAATATTATTCTTTCCACAAGAATCTGGTATTTGAAAAGAAAAAAAAAACAAAAAACAATATGTGATAGAAATAATAACGAAAGCAAACAAAATTTCAAATATTTATAGAACTTTTTTCAAGAATTACAATGTGACTATATTAAATAAAAAAGACAATTGCTAAAAATAACACAAAAGATATTTAAATATTCCTTTTGTTCTTGTCTTTTGCCTAGAGAAATTCAAAGCGTCCAATGGAATTAAAGGAATCTTTTAACAGTGGGACGAATTACAATTCTTCTCACAAACCCTTTTAATATTCTTCAAAGGTCAGTTATATCTAGAAGTTCTTGTTGATGGAATTTTATACAAGATTGACGGTTTCCCATCCTTTTGTGATTTAACACATGTGAATAAACAATTTCTATTCTTTTAGGTTCGATAATCGCAAATATGGAAATTATTAATTATCGAGACTTGTATCGTATTAGAATATATATTCTTTAATTAAAAAGGCATATATCTGATCAAAATATCATTTATTTTACAAATATTTCAGTTGGCTGAAAGCCAACCTTTATCAAGGTGTTATAACAATTTAAAGTATGTCAACAACAAACTCAATGCCATGTTGTTGATACACTTTAAAATGTTATAATACCTTGATAAAGGTTGGCGTTCAGCCAGCTGAAATATTGGTAAAATAAATGATATTTTGATCCAATATATGCCTTTTTAATTAAAGATTCATTTATGGATTGCTCTATTTTCAAAATATATTCTTTAATTGAACATATTGTTGGAATATTACACAGAGTAACAATGGCTATAGATGAGCTCGTGTTTGAAAAGGAACTTGTATGTATAGTATATAATATCTATTGTTTTGTTGTTTTCATATCGAAACATATATAAATATTTATTAATAATAAATAATATGTAAAGTTAAATTGGTTACGGATTCATCCTTCTTACTTACTTTAATTACATTACACATATAACTCTCTACGAAATATAATATAGGTTAATGTTGACATCTCTTATTTTATCAATTGAATGTTATTTAGATATGCGACAGAAACCTAGTAAGAGGATGGAATTTCATGGAAAAATAGGTAAATAAAATTTATATATAATCCAAGGCCTATATATATATATCTTCAAAATTAAATTAATTATATTTAATTATATGAAAATTGAGGTACAGCTTGCGCCACGCTGATGAGGGCCAACAGCCCGAAACGCGTCCGTGGTTAGCTTTTCTTGATCAATCAAGAATGGGTATTTGGCCAATTCTGGATTAATTAAAAATCAACGAGAATAGTTTATATTTATTCCGATAGATGGCGCAAGCCATCCGCAACTTTTAGTTGCACGATAAGGAGATGCATTTTTCTTTATTTAATTATATATATTCACTTCACATATATATTTAATTAAAAAGGCATATATTGGATCAATATATATTATATTTACCAATATTTAAGTTGGCTGAACGCCAATATTTTTCAAGGTACTATAAAAAGGTAATATATTTCGATGTTTTACATCTCTTATTTTATCTATTATATATTATTTATACAGAAAACTTGTAAAGGATGGTCGAACAGTTCATTGAAATATAGGTAAATATAAATTAATATATAATCTTCAAGTTTAAAATAATTATATTTAAATATATATATTCACAAATTATATGTCGCATACCTCGAGATATTTGCATGGTATTGTTTTGTTTTATATATTTTTACATTTTGTTTCTTATGAAAGGATGATATACACTGGTGTCCAAAAAAATAAGAAACTTAACCAATATTGAAATTTCTTAAAAGCTAATTTATTAACAAATATAAAATTTAGTATACAAATAGTTTAAACTATGGAGAATTTGACTAGCTATATGAAAATAAAAAAATCTTTGAAATTATGAAATATGCAAATTATTACCAACATACCCAAAGCTAAGGTTCCAGATCTTAAAGAAATAAGATATCAATAGGGAGTATGATCACCTCTAACAGCTATCAAGGTCTCACAGCGAGCCCTCATACTGTTTACCAGGCTTTGAAGGAGGTCCAGGGGTAGTAAACCCCACTCCTCCAATAGAGCCGTTCTTAGCTCAACGAGGGTTCTGGGAGAGGGGTGACGAGCTCCAATACGCCTCCCGAGAGCATCCCACACATGCTCTATTGGATTCAGGTCCGGAGATCTGGCTGGCCAATCCATCCTTCGAATATTCTCACTCTGGAGATATTCATTGACCAGCCTAGCCCTATGCGGACGAGCATTATCGTCCATAAAAATTAAATTGTGACCAATTTGATCTCTATAAGGTCTTAGATAGGGCTCAAGGATCTCGTCCTTGTACCTTTGGGCGGTTAAAGTGCCCCCAGAAAAAATGTGGAGGGGTGTGCGTCTGCTAGAACTTATGCCAGCCCAGACTAAGAGACTGCCCCCTCTAAAACTGTCTATTTCCCTGATGTTACTGGGATGCTAGCGGGTTCCAGGCTCCCTCCAGATGAAAACTCGTCGAGAATCTGTGTTTAAACTAAATCTTGACTCGTCACTGAAGAGAACATTGGCCCACTGATCAAGAGTCCAGGCGTGATGTTCCAAGCACCAATTCAAGCGGGCTCTCCTGTGAGCAGAGGTTAAAGGTATACAGACCATTGGTCGTCTTGCATAAAGAGCACCTTCGTGAAGCCTGCGGTAAACAGTTTGTCTTGAAATTCTCGTTCCAGTAGCACTTGAGAGTTAATTAGAGAGTTGAATAGCTGCCATCTCCCTATGGCGCTTGGCAGTTACGACCAGATAACGGTCTTCAGAGGTAGCTGTTTTTCTTTTTCTACCAGAACCTTCTTTTCTTTTGATGGTTCCTGTCTCAATGAACTGTTTCCATATTTTGCTGACCACAGATTTATTCACATTTAGCCATTTGCTACTTCAACTTGTGATTGCCCTGCCTCCATTCTTCCAACAGCTCTCCATTTTAAATCATCTGCTAAAATATTTCGTAAACTCATAATTAACTAAGGATTAAATAAAATTATAATTGGACAATTCTTAGATGGGGTAAACGACACGCCAAATAGCACACTTATAAAGACTAGCAAAAATTTGCATATTTTCAATTTTACCGAATCGAATGGTTGCGATAAATAAATTCTACGACTTAAAATACCTATTTAAATTCTTTTTAGCTTTTAGCGTTGTATATTTTAAAACATATCATTAAAAAATAAAAGTTTCTTATTTTTTGGACACCAGTGTATTTGCATGTCCGCGAGAAGCGCGATGTATATATATAGGTAGGAAAAATAAAGTTAGAGTTTCTTTTGTCTGAAATCTTCTCATGTCTCGTAAAACTCGTTCTTTTAAAATAGAACATCACATTATATATATTGAAAATTGAGCAATAATCCATAATTAACATTATGTTTAAAAAATATGCATATATTGGATTTATAATGAATTTATTGTTCCAATATTTCGAGGGCAACTAGCCTCTCTTTATCGAGGATGTTTGTGTTTTTTTACTAAAACATGCGAGCACGCGTACATTTACACTGTTGTATATAAATCTCTCTCTCTCTCTTTCATAGATAAAATAATAATCGATAATATTATATTTAATTATTAGTTTTATATATTCTGAAGGTAATTATTAAATAAAAGATACAATTCTTTCATTGGCCTTGTAGAACGAGAGTGGTGTACGTGTACTCGCATGTTTTATTAAAAAAACACAAACATCCTCGATAAAGAGAGGCGAGTTGCCCCTCGAAATATTGGAACAATAAAATCATTATAAATCCAATATATGCATCTTTTTAATATATATATATTAAAAGAAAGAATCAACCAGCACAAATCAGCCCTAAAACACCATAACCCGACCTCCTTATTAGTAGATCATGCTCTCATCAATGGCTACATTCCAGACTTTGAACAACCATCAATAATACACCAAGATATAAAAGAAAAGCATAGCAGGCTATTCTTGGAGAGTTGGAGTTCTTTGGAAGACAGAAATAGCATAAACCGAAGGATCGATATACCGGACATGTACACACAATTTAGATGCTCCTAGAATAGGAACCTCTATGTATATATGAACTTCAGTGAAATGTCTTCATTCATAATGCAATAGCCGAATATTTATTTTGTATATATAGATATTTACTTTTCACTCTATTTATTCATTTATTTTAATTAGTATTGTACGATATTTATTTGCATACATTACATTTTCATTTGAATGATTTTCGCCCGAAGAGATTGTGAGACGCCCGTGTCTCAAGTGTAATGCGCGGCTTGCCGCGAGAGGGGATGAGATCCTTGAAAAAGATGGCCGTTTAGCCCATTGAAATATCGGAAATAAAAGATTATTTATTGAATCCAAGATGTGCCCTTTATGAACATATATATATATATATATGCAATAGATGTGAATCTCCTGTATATTAATATAAATAACCTTTAACATTTTTGTACACTTGTAGAAGAGCGGTAATACCCGAAAGCTCGAGATTACAATAAAAACGAAAAGAAACTCATCTCTAGAAACCTTATGTCTCAATTCATTTTATGTGTATGTTTGAAAATTATATGAAGTTATTCAACTTCATTTTCTCGTTTATATTTTTCTCTCTATATAGAGTCAATTTTAATTTACTAACTACGGTGTTTATCTAAAATAATACTCAGGGCTCTTGAGTTAGTTGTACAATCTATTAATTCCAATCAGGTAACATCTCAGCTTTTTCGACTGTTAATGATATCGAACCGCTGAGATCCAGTACACCGTTCCATATGAGCGTCCTGAACGCATCAATTCCATATTCTTGTTAACAGTCATGGGATCATTAACAACGCGAGAGGCAATACCTTTGGTACGATAAACCGCAATAACTTCAGACTACACCC